TCCATAACTTTCAAAATTAAAAATAATTAAATAAATAACAACAATTTTGCAAAAACATTAAAGAACATAAGAATATTATTCAATAAAATTTTAGGTTACTTAGAATTTTCGATTTCCTAGAAATGTACTTTTAAATCGTTACTTTTTTTGTTTAGTACTTGTACTTTTACTTGTACTTTTTACTCGTTACTTTTTAAAATATGCAACGCTTTGGTTATAATCGTTACTTTTTTTAAAAATACTTGTACTTTTACTCGTTACTTTTTAAAAGTAACGTTGCCATGTATGCTCTTAACTCCCTTTAAAATTAACCTATAATTTTCAAACTCGGTCAGAAATTAATGTTCAATGTACCGAAGAATCGTACTAACGGAAATTTTTATAGGTTTATTAGGGGACGAACAAAGGACCAAAATAGGTTTTGTTTACTTATCGGAAAAGGGTACATAAAGCTAAATATTCGCGAGAGCTTCGTGTGAAGCTTGGCATGGTTGGTAGAGTGCTGCGGACAAGTATGCCTGGGAGAACGTGGGTTCGAAACCCCGCGGTGATTAGAGATTTTTATTTATTGTTTATTTTATTTCATACTGTTTTTGTAATATGTTTTAGGGCGAATAACATTTTCTTATCGTAAAAATTATTATTTTTCTTTTGAAAAACAGCAAATAATAGCATGAAAGCGGATAAATTACGGATATTTATTTATTTATTTTTATTATTATTTTAACAACAAGTCTTTCCATATTTTACCGAAAATAAAGTGCTTTTTATATAAAAATAAGTATATCTCGGTCTTAAAGCGTGAATAATCTCAGAAAAACAGACAAATATGGTCTCTGGAGGCATGCAATCATCACCCCCCTTAACTCCCTTTAATATTAAACTATAATATTCAAACTCGGTCAGAAATTAAGGTTCAATGTACCGAAGAATCGTACCAAAGAAAATTTTTATAGGCTTATTAGGGGAGCAACAAATTACGTTTTCCTCCATTTTCAAACTAAACATAAGAGGGCGCAAACTACAGATTGGCTAAACTGAACCCCACAATCATGAGTAACTATTGCAAACTAGCGGCATAGTTATGAAAATAGCATATTAGTCATCAATCATTAAATATTTAAAAAATAGTCTAAATACACTTTTAGTTTTCTCAAAACGCCGGCCAGGTGGCTGAGTGGTTAGCGTGCCTGAATGCGAAGCCAATGGCTGCGGGTTCGAATCCCGCTCTGGGCATGGATTTTTCTCTCTCTGTGTTGTCTTCTGATGTGTAAACGTATGAATGTGGCCCATCCTATGAATGGATATTTGTGGCTGTGTGGCGTGGGTAATGTTGCTCGCCTCCGTGACTTTGGTTAACAGGTGTCCACTGGGTAACGATGAATGAGCAACACTACCGGCATCTTCTAAGGCGAAGAACGAAAGTTCAGTGCCTGCCGTTATTAAAAAAANAAAAAAAAAAAAAAAAAAAAAAAAAAAAAAACGTTTTCTCAAGACTAACTTCTTTCCCATTGACATTTTGTAGCATTTTCAAAGTATACATTAGAGGGCGCTGTCTAAAGATGATCTAAACTTGTCATAACAATCGTAAGTGAGTGTTGCAAACTTATAGCACATATATGAAAATAGCGTATTATTCGTCAAAAAGCATTATTTCATGCACTGACTGAGTCTTCGGAAAACGGTCGTAATATCGCCATTTTCCAATATACTGAAACCCTATAGGAAATCTGTTTCATTTCACAAATTCCAGGTGTCGGCACAGTGTGGTGATGGTACCAAGGAGGAGTGTGACATCGCCCTTCGTTATTCCGTTGCATGGGAAGTGGATGGAAGTCCAAAGATCACCCTGAACTCCAAGGAGAGCGATGCTTGGAGACAGTTGGTGAAATCTGAAGAGACCTTGGAATCATTGCGACCTGGCAGCCATTTTGACCTGCTCATCTATTACTCAGAGGACGGTTTTCGATGCTTCCTTGATGATCAAGAACATGCCCATCTTCCATACAGACTGGAAGATCCTCGTCCAGATCACGTGACTGTTTGTGGGGACGTTCAGATTCAGAGGCTGTTGTTAGTTTGATATGATTGGACAATCATCCTCAGTAGACGACTCTACTCGGCTGTAAGAAATATCGACCACATCGTTCTATTTTTTTAAAAAATTTGAAAACAATCCGAAGAAGTTTAATAATACAATTGACTCCTTCATGATTACTTTGAAGAAATCAACTAATGTAATTAAGTAATTCGAAAGTGTCTAGAAGAAATAATTTGAATTACCTCAAAGAAATAGCAGTTTAAAGGAGTTGATTAACTGGAAAAAAAATATGTGTTCGATGGAGTCAATTAATTAAAACAATAAATGTTGTAATGATCCGAACAATTGAAAGAAGTAATTGATCAGAACCAATAAATTTATTGTTTGAAGGAGATAATTAATATGAATTATTAAGTGGATATAGTAAATTAATTGGAAGGAGTTTTTCAATATATTTGATACATCTGTGACTGTTGAAATTAAAAGGCAACTGTGAATAGTTTTGATATTCGAAATGGATTAATCCTATCTCTTACAGCCTCGTAAATTCGTGTTTCGGAAAGGAGTGTATAAAAACAAATTGTTAATAACAAATGGTGTGCTGCAATTATTATTTTATGCTTGTTAGTGCATTGAAAAATTTTATTAGTGTTGATCTCTACATGTACAGAGAGCTTGTATTATAATGCAAAATGTAAAATTAAAGTGTTTTTACTGTACTGTTATTTTATTCAAATTATATGTATAATGAAACAATATTATAATCAATATTGAAGCAGCATTAATTATTAAAATATGTCACATACCTCTGCCCAATGTCAGAGGTATAAGGCGAAAACAAAAAATACATAAATTCCACAATTATAAGTGAGGATTTTTTTCGTTGAGAAATTAAGTTAAATACTTTGTAATTCCCCACGTAAGCAAAGCTAATACGGATTTATTATTGGCTTGAGTTCTTACCATTTCGTTTTTTAACCTCCTCTTTATGCATACAAGTCAGTTAAAGCCCAAAAAAGCAGAATTCAAATTATTAAATAATTAAATAGTAATCAATATTCAACCCCATTAAATTGATAGGTTTTTCTGAATGAAATAAGAATTTTAATAGCTCGTTTTTTTATTCTTCACAGGAATGGTTCAAAAATTTCTTTACATTGCTTGTGTTAAACAATGAGTAGCAACATTACTGTGCATTTAATTTGTGTGTCAAATTCGTTACTTTCCGGGTAACAAATTGAACATGCCAATAACGATATATTAAGTAAAATATACAGAATATAATGTTACAAAATTTATCATGGTACCTTAAAACATGGAATAAAAACTATTTATTAGGTTACTTTTCGAATTTGTATTTTTTACTAAATGCTTGGTGATAAGAACTATAATTTTGAATACCAGACTTTCCGGTAAATCATTACTATATGAACAGAAAAATTGCTAAATGAATGGTTTAAATACCGTATAGTTTTATTTTATAAAGCAAGACTATTTAAAATAAAAAAGTAATAAATTAAAAAACCAGAAATGTTATTATGGTTTTATTAAATATACTGGTTTTATTAGATATATAATAAAACCAGTACAGTAATTTTAACTGATTTTTTTTCTCAGTGTTAATGAAGCAAAATCCAACTATAGTTATGAGTAGTATATATATATCTTCAAAAAACGAATTTTTAAGCTGAAAATGTAATTTTGTTTTTCAATCGTGGTATATTTCACTTTTTATGTAAAACATGGCAAAAATATTAACATACGATCGATTTAAATATTGAATATAGTCTTTCATGATTATTTTCAGCAGGCATTGAAATAAATAAACCAAGCAAGTTTGAATAAATTTTTGAAATGCGGGATTTACTATGAATAAAATCATTTTTCTATTCATTACTTCACAATTGCAAAGTTAATCCTGTTTAACTTTCGTATAATTTTCACTCAACTTTTTCAAAGGTTTTTTTCAGGATGCATTTCTGATTTTGTTTAAAATTTTGTCTTAAAAATATGCTAATGAGTTCTCCATCGTCCAAAGAAGAGCAAACAACAGTGAATGGACAGAATTTAATTGCTATTAACATAACAATGGTTAAGAATTAATGCACTAATGCAGCAGGGAACGGTTTCAAAGTTGCCTGCATATTTTTATACTCTCTTACACTACACAGTCACGTTTTAAATTTATTTTTAAGAAGACAAAGATGTTTAAAACTAATCTATGACGAAGAATAATACCAAATATTTCTTAAAATATATGTGCATATTCTTTGAAATTCCTCCAATTTCCTTTAAAGGGAAAAACACTGAATAATTCCAATAAAGATGACTTATTAATTTTGATGGTACATAATGCGATAGCGAAAGTTTTTATAGATTATGAGTTGAATGTTATATAAATAAGAAAAATGAGCATGTATTTTTTGCATTGAGAAAAATTTCTAATTAATAATCGATTTGGCTGAAGGTTTCGCTACTCTTGTAGTTTCCAATTGTCATAGAATTGTTTAATTGCGATTATAGCTCAATTGTTGATTAGTAGATACGAAACGCTCATTATATTTTTAAATAAGCTCATTAAAATATTATTTTAAGATGAAAAATATATTCGTATGTAATTTTTTCGATCGATTTTACCCTATAGTTTAATATGCATTTCATTATACATTTTATTATGTACTTTATTAAAATTGATTCGTATTATCCCGTTTAAAGCAATCAATCTAAATACTTATGTCATAGATTTGTTTAATTGCGATTATAGTTTAATTGTTGATTAGTAGATACGAAACGCTCATTATATTTAAAAAAACGCATTAAAATATTATTTTAAGATAAAAAATATATTCGTACATAATTTTTTCGATCGATTTTATCCTATAATTTAATATACAATTTATTATATACTTTATTAAAAATCATTTATACTATCGCGTTTAGAGCAATCAACCTAAATACTGATACGATAATAAAATTTCATCACAAACAGTTTTTATAAATAAAATAAAAATTCCAGTTTTAAATTTAGTTATAAAAGAAAAAATACTCATAAATGAGGTTTAAAATTTTTATTTACAAACAAAATACAAAATCATTATTAAACATGTAAGACAATTTAAATTACATATAAGACAATTTAATGAATTTGCTTTCATCCTGATAAAATAATTCATCAAATACATTCAAGAAAATTATTAATGTGGCCTACATTCAATAGCGATATGACCTACATTCATATTCAACACAAATTTCAAAAATTTGAATTTTTACTCAGCAATACGAAGTGTTACTTAGCCATGGATTTTTTTGAGGAAAACATTTCCCTGAACACTGGAGTGTGTTCCCTTGATTAAACATCTAAAACCCAGTGAAATAAAACTTTTACGCTTTTTTTCAACCAACACGCAACTGAAAAAGATTATTGAAATAAGTAAATTAATTTCATTACCGGGGTGGGGAGCCCTTTATGTTTAGGAATACTTTCCAGCTTCTGTAAGAAAAATTACAAGGATGGATCAGATTATTTTATCTTTCCTGCTTTTACAGACAGCATACAACTATAATTCTGTGCTTATTTTCATATGATAAAGATTTCTTTTCCTACTTAGATATAAATCTCGTCGCAATTTTTTCTCTTGTTCAGTTTTTTCCTGTTTAGGACTTCACTTCACATTTTTGCATGCATGAGTTAAACGTACTTTTGTTGAATGACAGAAATCAAGAGAATTTCGACATTCATCGGTGGATGTCAACAATCACATAGTCTCTATATTGAATGTCAGTAATACTTGTTACAGCTGATTTTATATTAATTTATCCATTGACATACAGCTGATTTTATATTAATTTATCCATTATATTAATTTATCCATTATATTTATTCGATATTTTAAAATCTGCGGAAGATAGATTAGGAAAAACATCTGTGTTCAGAGTACGGTTAAATTCATACTGGGTGGTGGCAGTTGACTTTAAAAAACATTGATGTAGGGCATGTCAGGTAACAGTCAGTGGCACTAAACCTTGAATAAACATTGATGCAGTGTAGGGCATACCGTGCAAATGTATACCAGACAGTGGCACTTATTAACTAGACCTAATATACACCGAAGAGCCATTACATTTTGACCACCCCCATCTATAACAATGGGCTCGCCCAGTTTTTCATGGTTTCTCGCCCAGGAACAATGTTTTCATGGAGCCTATTATGACCCATAATCCTCCAAGAACAATCCCTGACGTCTGTAAGCTACTTGAACATAGTTGCAGACCAGGTTCACCCATTCATGGCAACAGTTTTTCCTGCGTGGGATGGTGTTTACCAACAGCATAATGTACCATGCCATAAGGGTCGAATTGTCATGGATTGAATAGAGGAACATTCCAGTGACTTTCAAGTCACGTCTTGGCCCCCAAATTCACCTGACCTTAATCCAGTAGAACATTTGTGGTCCTTCTTGAAAAACCAGATTCGTTCTGCCAAGTTTCCCCCTCGCAATGTGAGGGAATTGCAGGACCAGATGGTGAGCTCTTGGTACCAGATACTCCGAATTCCTATCAGCACCTTGTGGAATCAATGCCAAGGGAGGTGCTAGCAGTTTTGAGGACTAAAGGTAATCCTACATGTTATTAGCAGGGTGGTCATAATGTAATGGCTCTTCGGTGTTTGTTTCGAACATTTACCAAAGCGACTATGTGTCAACATTCGCTGGTGGAAGTCAACAACCACCAATAGCGATCATTCACAGTAACATTTTTAAGTCAAACTTTTGCGTGTTATATCGTGATGATTAGATTGTATTTACAGAAAGAAAGTGTTTAAGTGATAAATAAGCTGAGAAACTGTGGAAGAGGAATATTTTTAAAACTATATATTTTAATTTATCAATTTTTACTTAAGTTGTACTCGTATATAAATAAGTTCAATTCCAAGATTAGCTTCCCGATGTAAAAGTAAGAAATAATCAGAATTAATCATGCAAACATATCATTCAGATTTCAAAATATTCAAACTACTAGCTAAGAATACTTAGAGCCCAGGCTTAATATGCGTTTATTTATTCTTTTTTTTTAATATATAATTTTATATTAAATAAAGATACATCGATTCGTTATATTTGTTACATTTTTGATCAAATTAAACATGAATGTATTTTTTTGTTTTTGAAAAATTCTAGATTTTATCAGAATTTTAAATGAATTAGCATCAGTACTGTACTATGCTATCTCATTTTCCTCCAATTCTTCAGTAAAGCAAATATCTCTATTTGTATACATTTCTTATACATTTTTTATAGTTTAAGCATCATGACATCACTTTAATTTTTACAATGCATGTTATTACTCATTAAATATGATATGTTATAACGACTACTGCTCACATAGTATTAGTTAAATTTCGACAACAGATCCTGCTGTATTTCCACGAGAGAAAAGATTAATATATTTTCTTTAATTCCAGACTTTCTGTCGGCTAATTTTCAATAATACATTTTCACTATGACTAATGTCACTAGACATTTTCATTTTTGGACAGGAGAGTGTCCTTCCCTTTCTGAAGAAATACATCACGGATTATTCTGTAACTTAAGGTATTAGTTACAGACAAATTTGGAATATTAACGTAAGCAATTACAATTGTCTGAAATTAAGTTATGTGGAGATTTGAAGATTTTTTACGGTATGAGTGTACAAAAATATTTGTTAGCACTTATATCATAAAACGTAACAATCAATTTTTAATTTATAAACACTACTTTCATCGATAATAGGAATCGATATTTACTGATATTCTTTGATTTTGTGATCATATATTTTAGGTTTTTGAAACCAAATGTATATACATTCTACTTAGCAAGAAAATCATTAAAATTGATTGCCTTTTTAACAGACAGACTTTTTTATAGGAGATTCAGGAATAATTTTCCTTATAAATTTTTAACTGGTCGTTTAAACCACATGACGAAATCATTAATGCAAAGTATGAAAATTAAATTTTAAAATTAATAAATTAAAATTAATTAATGAAACTAATTAATAAAATTAATAAATGAAATTAACAAATAAAATTAATTAATAAAATCAATTAATGAAATTAATTAATGAATTAAATATTTAAAAATACAGATCAATTTGGTTAGTATTTCCTTAGAAACTTCAAAACTATATCAAGAACAAAACGTATCTGGTGAGTTTTACAGACAGAGTGGAAATTTCATAATTCATTCTGTGTCTTCATACTATTTTGCCAACTCTTTCAAAGTCTTGGATAACCCACTCCTCTATTTTCTAAATTAACAACAAATTTAATTAACAGTTCAGTTCTTTGATAAAAGATTAAATGTTTCAAAGCTAAAAGGCATCAGTAATGTACGAATGTTTTATACTTGGTTACTGTTATTTTTAACGGGCATGACACCTTTATTGTAGATACACACACTTATTGCATCACTCTTCAATGGTGTTTGACTTCATATTTCAATTATCATTTCCTCATAAATCATTAATAGATTAATTATACTATTTCGCAAAAAGACTAAATTTTTCATTTCTCCAAAACAAGCACATTTACGGCATCAACGAATACTTTAACCTGTAAATAACTTCATGATTATATCTTTATTACTGATACAATATATTTTGTTCACCTTTAAATATTTGACCTCATACTTGAGTATCAGTTACCGTTAGACACATAGAGAAAAGCTTGTTTAAGCGTAAAATTGTTAAAGGGGTAAATTTTCTGATTATACTAAGAAAACACAGTGGATCGGATCACAGAGTTGGGTAAGCTAGTTAACTCAAAATTGTTTCTCGGACAGAAAAAAAAAACATAATATTTGGATTTTTATTGTTTGCCACTTTAGTATCACTTCAGTATTAGTTACTATTTCATCTTGAGATGCATGCCGATAGGCTTAGTTAGCTCGAAGGAGTTAACTTTTCATTTTTACAAAGCACACGGGAAGAAGCCACAAACATACTCAAATTTCTTATACTCGGATTAGTAAAGTTGGTGTTGTCAAGATGCAAATGTATCAGTTCAGTATCAGGTATTAGACTTCAGCATCAGTTACCATTTTGTCTTCAGATGCATAACAATTGGCTTGTTTAACCAGTAATTTTGTGGATTTGCTTTTTTAATCAATAATCATTATCATTATAATCAATTTTTCCTTTTTACGAAGCACACTGGGAGAAACCACAATCACACTCAAATTTATCATACTCGGATAAGTCGAGTAGATGTTGTCAAGGTACATTTCATCTTCAGATGCATACCGATATGCTTGTTTAATCATTAGTTTTGTGGATTTGCTTGTTTAATCATTATTATTGTAATCAATTTTTCCTTTTTACAAAGCACACGGGGAGAAGCCACAGCCATACTCAAACTTTTCATACTCGAATAATTAGAGTAGGTGTTGTCACGATGCAAAGGTATCAGTTCAGTATCAGGAATCAGACTTCAGTATCAGGTACCATTTCATCTTCAGATGCATACCGATAGGCTTGTTTAATCATTAATCTGGTGGAAGGAGTCAATTTTTCATTTTTACAAAGCACACGGGTAGAAGCCACAGCCATACTCAGATAAGTAGAGTAGGTGTTGTCACGATGTATAGGTATCAGTTCAGAATCCAGTATCAGACTTCAGTATCAGACTTCAGTATCAGTTACCATTTCATCTTCAGATGCATACCGATTGGCTTGTTTAATCATTAATCTCGTGGAAGGAGTCAATTTTTAAATTTTACAAAGCACACGGGTAGAAGCCACAGCCATACTCAGATAAGTAGAGTAGGTGTTGTCACGATGTATAGGTATCAGTTCAGAATCCAGTATCAGACTTCAGTATCAGTTACCATTTCATCTTCAGATGCATACCGATAGGCTTGTTTGATCATTAATCTCGTGGAAGGAGTCAATTTTTAATTTTTACAAAGCACACGGGTAGAAGCCACAGCCATACTCAGATAAGTAGAGTAGGTGTTGTCACGATGTAAAGGTATCAGTTCAGTATCCAGTATCAGACTTCAGTATCAGTTACCATTTCATCTTCAGATGCATACCGATAGGCTTGTTTAATCATTAATCTCGTGGAAGGAGTCAATTTTTCATTTTTACTAAGCACACGGGGAGAAGCCACAGCCATACTCAAATTTCTCATACTCGGATAAGTAGAGTAGGTGTTGCCACGATGCAAGTTACTCTCATCACTGTTTTTTCTCTTGAAATTCTCCAAAGAAAATCTGTGGCAAATTTGGAAGAAACCGTCTCTGAACATTGAATTCATCCAGCAATAAATGAATGGATTATAAGATGCATGACTCATGGCAAGCCAGTGACACAAAAACCATATGTAAATGATGTTATCGTATTCCCATATGCTGTCATCTAAATCGCCAATAACAATGAGAACGTTTAGAGGCAGCCAGCACAAACTGAAAACGGTGACGACTGTTATCATCATTTTCACCATCTGGAGAATAAAAATTACAATTTAGCATTATTAGTTTCTTTTGAAGGTAAATATAAAGTTTCAACATACAGATTATTTTAGAACCTAATTGTGAGATTATAAGGCATAAAAGGAAACATATAAAATTATAAAAACAATGTAGCTTATCAGTTTAGTAAATATTTTAACTTTTAAAAAAACATAGTATCAAAAGACCAAGAAACTTACAAACGTAATTTGTGACGTTACACATATAAGGAAGATTCGTTTCAGAAAATTTAAAGTTTATATTTATTTGACAAAAACACGAAAGTTAATTAATAGCAGGATTAATTATACAACATTCAGTTCTTAATCATAAATTAAAAACAATGGTAGATTTCGTTCGCTATCCACAGTTCAACAAGGAAAATGGCTAGTCAATGTAGTTGCAATCAAGAAAAAGAAATAACTGCTTTTAGCAACCATGCCACGAAGTTGCCCCTAGAGGTAAATAAATATAATAAAAAGTGAAGTAAAGTATTTCAGCAACAGCGTATTGTAGGCCAAAGGGTTCTTAAGGTTAAGGCTATGCACCAATGACCAATGGCGTGATAGTGGCAGTGTGATTAGATTTGCACACCGACCACCTTTACTTCTTTAAGTTGGTGCTCATCGATCTGAAGCTCGGATGGGTTTAAGCCTTTGCCGGGGATAAAATTCCAGTTCTTCTGAATGAATAAGGATATTCTCCAATATAATAAAAAATAATTTGACTATTAACGTCTGAACGTAGGCATACTTGATACTGTCTGTCCACAAAAAGTTACAAGTTATACAGGGTGTCGCAAAAATATAGCGACAAACCTTTAGGGAAAGTAGCACATATTATTGGGATCGAAATGCCATTGTACGCAATAAGGTTGATGCTTTGAATTCCACAATCTAATGCTAACGTGCTTAGTAGCACTACATGAGTGCTACTTGATGGCCCCCATACTCACCTAATTTGTTAAGTCCTTATTCTATTCAGTGAGGAAGTTTCAAAAGTTAGTGTATCACTAGTCTGTGTAGTCTGCTATGAATCTCGGGACAAAACTCACCTGCGCTTAATTTTAAAAGTTCTGGAAGTTTTTTTTCCGAACTCAGTTGCTGTTCAAATAAAAATGTTTAACACCATAAAACCTGTTCACATGCATTTGTTTTTGTTTAGACTCAATGTGTGATGTGATTAGAAAATGATGCAACTCTTATCTTTTTGGAGACGCTGTAACATATGAGCATTTTATAATGAGCATTATAATATTACCCTGAAGGTGATGGCCTCAGAGTGTGTCAAGACAAGCTGCAAGAAATTTAAAAATGAAGGTATCTGACAAGAAGAAGTTTCTTCCAAATGCTTTTCTGAGGTTCTGGCTTTAAGATGATATTCGATAGTTTTGATATGATGAAATTGGCATGAAAGATCTGTTTTTTTCTGCAGTTTTTTTCCAAACTCAGTTGCTGAAATAAAAGTGTTTACACGAGGAATCATATTCACCTGAAACTGACTTTCTTCAGACTTAGTGTGTCGCATGAAGAAATAAGGATCCGCCTGGAAAAGACTGCCATAAGTGAACAATATATAATATTATCAAGAAGACTGAGCATGAGCTAACAAGATGTCAGGAAAAGTTCCGAAAATGATGGAGAGAAAGATATCCCAGTACTAAAAAGTTTTTCTTGGATTTTCTTTTCCTGCTGATGTTCATTCTATTTTTTTTTTCACAGTTGAGTACTTTTCAATAATTATTTTTCCTTGCATAATAACTAAAATTTATTATTTCTGTCTGAGGTGTAACTTGGGATCCAACATATACCAAATTAGCCAAAATTTACCTGCATTTGGAAATATTTTATTTTATAACCGTCGTTGAACAGTCGACCCAATTTTGGGTTTACGACTACTAATGTTCAACTCTGTAGCCTTGTAATTTTGAGTAATTAAAAGGTATAAAAGCAACAAAATTAAAATTAGGGGAGAGTCGGGTAGCCCTGCCCACTGTCAATTTCATATGTATAGAATATTTTTTCAAGTCAATGGGCCATCGGACATTAATTGTTATATTAAAAAAAGATTATTTTCAAAGTTTCAAGTATTTATGCAGCTGGTAACATGGTAAACAATAGTTTTGAAAATATGTTGATTACGGCAGTCATGAAATTAAGAAAAATGGGTTGAATGTTTCGATTAAGCTTCATTTTAATACTAAAAAAAATATTTCTTCTATACAAGCAGCATTAAAGTATGTAGTCTTAAGTTTAATTTGCACAAAGAAAGAAGTTTATATGTGAAAAACTGTTCGAGTAATTACAAATTTACAAAAAAATTGGATTTCGGGTAGCCCCGCTCACATGAATGTCGAGTTTCAGCAAAACTGAACGAA